CTTCTTCTTCTTTGTCTCTTTGTGTTAAACATTCAGTCAATTACCTACTTGTGTTTCCCTGCCTACCATTACGTGCACTCTGGCAAATAGAACCGTGCAGGTGAGAAGAGATTGGAAGTGAATGAAACACTTATAATGTACTGTCCCATTTAAAAACATCATCATGGGAAGCATATCCAAGGAAACATGCAGCATCAATGCTTCACATATAAGTATTTGTCCTGACTTTGGTCAGTAAGTTGCAGCTAAAAGCAGATGTGAATAGAATTCCAAAAAGCCACTTCCAAAGACCCCCCATAGATTATCTATCAGCCCGAATTTTGAGGAGCAGCAGCACCGTCTGCACTAAAGCTGTGCAAAGGGAGATGGATTAAAGGTAGATGATGTGTAGCCAGGATTTGTGTGGTTTCAGCTGTTCTTGTTGTCCGCAGTGCTACAGCTGGCCTGCCAAGTGTGTGTTTGCATGAAGCCAAAAACAAAAATCCTGTTTCATGGAGTCATAAATAGACAACTAGTTTACACTTCTTATGGATGTTCACTCCACTCAACAAATAATTCAATTTCTGAGGGTTTTACTGTTATTTTGTGTTTCCTCGTTGTCTTATTTCTGTATAAGAGGCTTTTAATCAATGACAGCAATAAAGTTGTGACAAGAACGCTTCATTTTTTGGGTCTTTTTTTGTGGCATGAACATTATCAGATTGTATCGAGCAACTTAAAAGACGGCTGAAAAGAAGTATTTTACTGACATCTTTTCTTTTAAATCACTCTCAGCAAACGTCACCTATGACCCCTAGATTGTAGTTGTTAAATGAAGGCCTGCCCAAATAATTGGCTGAGCCACTGAACGGCAGAGTGAATGGGCCCGCTCCAGATAGCATTTAATCATATCAGCGCATTAGTATTGGATCAGTATTGATAGCGATAGTGATAGCCTCATTCACATCCTTTGTGACTGAACTGTTATAAGAAGTTTTTCAGTGTACGGGGAAGACTTTAGACAACAGCAGGTCCATTTATTGTTTGAAGTCTGTTCACTGAGCAGTCGCATTCAAATGTAAAATAATATTGTACATGTTGGTTATCGTTTAAGTGTGGTACAATGTGTACCGTGTGCATTATTCAACTTTTACTTGATTCATTTTTTACGTCTGTTGTATAAGGAACAGAGGTTGCTTTGAGAAAACAAAAAGATGTCATCCGGCCTGAATCAGACCAGAAACATTGCCAATAATTTGCATGCAATTTGGCATTACTAAACTAGGGCGCTGCCATTTTATTGTTGTATTAATTTTGATCAGCTTTCTTTGTATAATGTGTTAACTTGCTTAATGTTTTAATAGTGGTTTGAGAAATAAATAAGGTTGGACAGTGAATGTATAATAAAGGTGTTACAGTGATTATCAACAGTCAGTATGGTATAATACAACAAATATTATTCTGATGCTTACACAGCAGATAGCAAGGCAAGACCAAGCTGGCACCCTCTGCAAACTGTTCAGGATCACATACTGTAACACAGGATGGATATTTCCACGTGTTACAGTATGTGATCTTGAACGGTTGTTTCGCCAACAAAAACACTGATTAATTTGTCTAATATTATAGCTCCACTCCTATCCTACATCATCCATTTATAACACCCCTTATACCATCTCCCCAATAAAGCGAAAGAAGAAATTTTATAACCCTAAAATAAGAGTGTGTTCAATTTAAAAAAATTTTTTTTTTACAAAGATTGTATTACATTTGCTAAGTGTTAAGTGCTACTGTATATACTGTATAGGCCTACTGGTGATGGAGGAAACAGGCGCAGTGTTGTGGTTGTTACCGCTGTACTGTGTCAGACGAATGTTCCAATAAAAGTATGTATCATGCACAGTCGTCGTTATAGTTATGAGCTAACACTAAGTAATTCATCCAGAGTAAATATGACCTAGGTACACTTTTTTAGGACAAGTGTTATATATATTGTTTTCACTTTAAATACAATTAACTGAAATATCATAGCGGGGCAATTTGAGACAAACCAGATGCCTGCAGATGCAGTGAATGCACACAAATAAAAACATTCTAAAAATACAAATATAACAATGTAAGGCATAACATGAGACCTCATGGTCTAATCCAAAGCTGGTCACAAACATCCATTTTATTTAATAACTCTAATCTTTAAAATCATGTGAACGGTCAACACATAAAGGCTTTGACTTGCGACTACATCATAGTAAACACTGATTAAACATGTTGTCAATGTTATGTCTAAAAGGTGTCATTTGTTGGTGGCTGTTGGTAGACACATCATTTAAAATTGGCCCTGTCTCAGAGAGTGATGCTGTCGGGCTCTGCTCTGCATGTGTGTGTGAGTGTCTCTGCCTGCCCAGCGTCGAACAGTCTCATACACCCATGCACATCGCTCCACCGTCCAAATTTACATGCCAATGTCCCAAACACAGCAAAGTATCTTGGAAAGAGCATCCAGTAAATGTGCAGATCTCCACCCATTGCATTTGGGGGAATGTGAGTAAGGAAGAGCCTCCCCGATCGTTTTCTTTCCTTCTAAACAAAGAAGAGTTGATTCTTACTAATTGTCCTTCCAGGCTTCCTTACAGCAATGATGGTGAAGATTAGAAGATTGGAGGAACGTTCACTCCATCGTATATAGACTGTGTGTACAGAATTACTGCAGTGCAAATAATAGAAAAACAAAGGCAGAAGGCAGGGACTCTGCAGATACAGCCACAGTATTATTATTACAAACATTATGATAAAAAGGACATGCAGTCCAAAAATGAAAATGATCTGAAAATGCAATATTTTTCTTATGACTTGAGGAAGTAGAACATTTTGACAGCACCCTCATACAGCATAATCACAACAGCATCCAGGATGCATCCTCTACAGAGAGGGTTGCTGTCAGACTACAAACCAGCCCTGACTCATGTGTCAGTGCTTACTCAGCACCGGTTTTGAATAATTACATTGTGACCAGACCAGTTTGTTTAATGTCAATGTCTGAATGCCTATGAATATTCATTAATACTCTCCTCTGTTCCTGTGTTTTTCTCCAATTCCTCAGAGGCCCGGTCATCATCTCTTTACACTTCCACCTCCTCATTTGTGCTGTTGTTAAGATGCACCTGCACTGCTGTTTCCTGCTGCATACTATAGGGATGTTTCATTATTAAACAGTCTGGCTCTTTTAATTATTTAGGATTGATTTGTCTATCTGCAATTTAACAATCTTGTGTTTATAAGGAAGAGATGGAACACACTTGACAAACAGAGGGACTGAAATATTGTGATTTTTCTAATAAATTGGTGATACTTAGCAAGAGTATAGTGTGCGGGATTTTTCTTTTTAAGTATTAGGAAGAGATAAAAGGATGGATCAACCGGGAAGCACTTTAAGTTTTTTTCATTTTGTTGGCTTATAAAGCAATAGTGCCTGTGCATACAGATCTCTCTTTAACAAATACAGATCAAAACAGGATTACAGCCATTTAAAGACATGATTTTTGAATTCTTGCTTGTATGACCTTGAGGCAGAAGAGATGTTAACAAGCCTGGTTTCCCAAGTCAAACACTCGTTGCCCTTGACATCTGTAAAGCACAAATCACATAGTTGTGCAATAAACAGCAGCCATACTTTTATGGTATTTGTTATCTGGATTTATCTTTATTCAAAGATTGAATAACACTTGTATGTGTGTTGGACTTAAAGGCTCCAATACAAATTCATCCATGCAACTCTGAGAGTTAAAAAAATTCCCAGTGGTGATGCAACTCTTGGAGAAACAAAAACGACTAAATAAAACAGGTGGGTCCCAAATAAGAGGACAAAAACAATGCACACGCCACACTGATTTAACAAGTAATAGATGTGAATATGAATCATAGGGCTTAGCCTTAAAGCTACAAAGGTACCAAGATGCCACGGACAATTGGGATTGTTATGCTGTCCTTTAATTTGTCAAATATTCAGTTGATTAGAACTTTTAAAGAGGTGTAAACATTGCTTGGTCCCTTATTTCCTCTAAATAAAACTCCCCCCCCCCCAGCTGGTCTCCAACTCTGTCTGCCTTGGTGCAAATATAACTAGTAGATATCCTCATAGCATTATGATGATGTTTATCCTTTATACAAAATTCTTCTAAAAGTGCTGCATTCCAGCCCTGCAATTTGCGGACAATGTTCAATCTTATCAGCAGCTCCTCTCATCACTGATGAATCATATCAAAACACAGCTCGCCTTTTAAATCAATACCCTGTCATTTTTTTTCCAGGCACAATGGGGAACTGATACCTTCCTGTAACTGCTTTTCACGGGCGAGTTCCCATTATTTCTGTTGAACAGCGGACGCTCTGCCCCTTTGTGCACACATATTCCATCTCTGTGCGCTTAGGTGAGGGAGTTAAGGCAGTGAGTTGTGAGCAGTGGACTTAATGAAGAAATCAGAGAGATTGCGCCATCCTGACGACACTCAAAGAAACACCAGCTGCTCCTCTCATGTGCTGCGAGGGCTTTAAATATTTCATTCAAAGCAGGGGAGGGAATGTGCGGAAAATGGAACATCTTCACCGCGCGCTAAAACAAACATCCTCTTGTTGACTTACAAACTAAAACACAATTTTGCCATGTGTCTCATTTAGCTGCCTCGTTCTTTACCTGACAAAAAAAAAAAAAAAAAAATCACTGACACGAAGGCTGCCTTGAATGCGGCTGCAGTGGAAACAATGTGGGATTATGTCACCCTGTTGGCATATTTCCGCGTGTTTATTTAGAACTGAGGACTTGTTGAGAGAGGCGGATATTTCTGCAGGAATGACACAAGCCTTGTTTGGCTTTACGCATTCACCCTGAACACACAGCCTGACTGTAAGTGTGTGTCTTCCTCCCTCTAGCCTCCTGCATTTGACAGCGTCCCTCCCTCTTTCTCTCCTCCTCCTCCTCCTCCTCCTCCTCCTCTCTCTCTCTCTCTCTCTCTTCAGGCTTTTCACCGGCAAAAAACACCGACACACTCCCTTTCCCTTAAACCCGGGAATAAACGCGGAGCGGCGGCAGGAGCAGGACTGACCTACCCTGGGTGCGCACCATCCATGGTTTGTCCCCTGGATATCTGTCTGACAGGAGGGTACGTTGCGATATTCATATTTTCCCCTGTCAATTTGCTCACGTCGTTATAAGCTCTGGCTTGGTTGTGTTAAACGATTTGTTGAATGTCGGGCTTTGACGTTTTCGAGATCTTTCCCTTATCCCTTTTACGCGTATAATTCGTGAAAGCGCTGCTTTGTTCGTGCTCTTTCTGCTTCTAGCTTGTGCAATGAAACGGCATTTATTCAAGCTACAGCTGTTTAAAGACCATCATGTTTCAACGCAGCATGTACTTTGCCCCGCTTGGTTGCCGTCCTGACTGGTGGATGAATATCGTTGTGGGAATGAAGCAAAAGCGAGTTGTAGCGTCGTTTGGGGCCCGCTTGCTCACTCAGTGTTGACATCCCACCTGCAACCAGGCGGTAAGACCCCAGTGCACCCCCTCGTAGTGCCCGGAGCGATGGACACAGCCCGGACATGATTTTTGCCACGAACAGCACCTCCTTGATTTTCTTTTTTCTTTTCTTATGTTCCTCAAAGTTGAGCTCAGAGATCAGCTGTTGTCTTGCTTGTTTTTCGCAGCCTGTCAGGCGAACTGGATCAGCAGTTGGCTTAGTCAGTGAATCCTCCCAACACACCCATCACTAATTATGCAACAGCCACATTGACAGTCACACACTGTCACACCCTGTCATCAACACTTTGTCCTCACAAAGTGCTGGAGTTTGCTTCCAAAACAAACCAGAATTAATTACAGTTTATGCATTTTGGCATCACGGTGTTGAAATGATCCGGGTACGAGTAGGCGACATGGTCTAAATACAGGCTTCAGTTACAGTGGAGACATTTGAGGTGAAGCCGCTCTCTGCCGGTTTCTGCTTGCATGCTGAGGCAGGTCCCTGTGCAGACATGGCCTCACCTTTTGGCCCCCCGTGGTTTCACCGGTTTGTGGAATTACATGTAGTGTTGGAGAGGAATGTTCCTGCACGTGCACGTGTTGGCTTCACCTTCATGATGCTATGCTTGGACTTTTATCCGTGGTTGTTTATCTCTAGCCAGCACTGCTTTATACCTTCAATGCCATTATGTCTTGAGTTCATCTACAGTACGATCAATCTCTTAAACCCATCAGCTAACGTCTAACAACATTATAGCCTCTAGGAGCTACAGCCCACACGTCTTCCAGAGGAGCCTGTGGTTGGTGATAAGAACTTCTAGACTTTCATTTCTACTCGTTGCATTTTTTGTGAAGGAGATGGAGTGAAGAAGAGACATGTAAATCAGATTATTATTCCACTTCCAATCCTTAAAATCCAGTCCTGCACCAACAGATGCTGCATTCTCATGCAAACCTATTCGATTACATTGGAAAAACATTTTTTTTTAATGGTCTAAAACGCATTGTCTAAAATTTCATGCTCACAAAGTGATATGACTACATGTTCCTATTTATGCAGTACAATATCTTGGCACTAAGGAAGGTTCAGGTTGCTAAAAGGCTGGATTGAATCACCTAATCATGCATACAGTAGGTGTGTTTTGGGTGTAATGTGAATCAAACCAATCAGAGTATCAGGTATGCCTGCAGGCTGGCACGTTGCAAACAACATTTAAGATTTCAGTCTTTATACTAAAATAGATGGAACTCTGGCACAGCTAATTCAACTGTCTTCCCTTCATTGAGCCCCTGAACACACAGAACATACCAAGGACAATGTGTGAAACAAGTTGATGGTGGATTCAAGTTATCGCTCGCTAAAACATTCCCACAACACCAGAAATGATCAGTGCCTTTCCAAATGAAGATACATGCGGTTTACATTTCCTTTCTAACAAAAGCAAATGCTAAAGAATTATTCAAATCTCCTGACACCCAGACAGGATCAAACAGGATCTATGTAAACTTCTGTGGGCTTAACGTCAAATAAGTGGGCTGTAAACACTTATTTACTTATTTTCCTCTGCTGGAATCCTGGGCTAATACTGTAAGACATACTGGACACTGGACAGTCTGTATTCATAACTGTGGGCTTGAATGTGGATGGAACTTATGTATACAAATTCATATTAATTCAACGCTCTGTTGCATTAGAGAGTGTCAGTGTGTGTACTTCTGCATGTTTCTCCAGGTATATCAGACCATGCATTTCGAGAGCTTGGTGTCGGTCTCAGCCTGAATTTTTAGGCCGTGTGCTGTGCCGTATGGTGTAGCAGACATAAAAAAAAAAAAGCAAATATAGTGAGCGGAGTTCTGCTGTGCTTCCATGTGTGTCTTACTGGCATCGAGGATGTCCATTATTAACTCATTTATGTTTGCCCAATCTTTTTAACGCCTCCTCCAAATAGCAGGAACATGCTGCGGCATGGACTTTAGACCAGGTTTTAAGTCGTCCATGGCACTATTAATATCTTTGTCCTCATAATAGGAACTCCCATGCTAGACCACACATCATTTTAATACCAATACACACTGGGCACAAAGGTGGGCGTAAGTTAATCTCTTGTTTTTTACAGGGTGGGCACCGGGCGGGAAAATTACAACTGCGTCAGGTGAAAAATAAGAAAGGCACACGCGCTGCGCAATCTGAACGACAGGGAAACTTAAAGGTAATTTCCATTATTGTATGTATTATGCAACTTTAATGGTAAACGGACTTGAGCTTGTATAGCGCTTTTTAGTCTTTTGACAACTTAAAAGGGATTTTTACACCACAGAGGTCACACTTACCCATTTACACCACATTCACACACTCCTGCGGCGGCTGCTGTACAGTGTCCATCAATATTATCTCATCTCATTCATTCACATTCGCACGCGGCTGACACAACAGCGGGAGAAATTTGGGGTTGAGTGTCTTGCCCAAGGACGCTTCCACATGTGACTGCAGGAGCTGGGGATCAAACCCCGGACCTACCGGTTGAGAGGCTCGACCACTGATACACAGCTGCCTGACCACACCTCATTTTAAAACCTATGACTTAAAACATATGAGCATGTTGGGCCTAGTTCCACAAGCTCACAGCACTGCAGCCCTACTCACTGCTGCCTTACAGGTGGACCTATATCCTATTGTATGTAGATGTAAAAAAACAGTGTTCATGGTAAATGTATTCATAAAGAGCAATAGATTACTCAGTTGATGATATTTTTTTAATGCCTGAAAACAACTCTCTCCTTCGCAGAGCCTTGCCAGCATTGCGTTCTTGTACCACGGTGCATTACACTCAGCCTGTTAGTTCTCAGCAGAGACACAAAACATATTGACAACAGTTGCATGCCACATCATACTACACTCAGATCAGGTGGAAAGAGATGCGCTTAAAAATTGGTAATCAATCTCTTCAAAGACGACTTATTATACCTCAAATCTTTCTGGCTTATGAAGTTGTTGAATCGGTGTAATTCAAACCAAGACTAGCTCCGTTCCTCTGCAGTGCTCGGGCCTATACTCCCCGCTGCTTAAGAGGTGGGCTTATGGTACTTTGTCACACTTTCCTCCAGGCCTCACATACTGTCAGCCCTAGCGAGTGCACCCGCTGTCACACAGCATCCACGTTGTCAACATCGGAAACATCCCGCGCCCACTGTGTCAAACCAAATAACTGCAAAGGAGCCAGTCCCAAGTCTCTGCAGCACCGGCAGCCCTTTCCCATTGTTAGCATATCATCACTCTGACCGAAGTTTGTGATCATACTGAGTTCAGACACACTGAGGTGAATCACACTTGAAGATTCTTTATGCTCTGCTTCTTTTTTTTACCACGGTGGATACGTGCATAAAAGCCTTGCTCCAGTGTTTGTGTGTGACTTCAGATGCCTGCGGGTGCTGTTGGGATTTCACAGCCCGGCATGCTGCCTACCACCATTTGCAATTCAAATGAGCATGTATGAGGCACCTAGTGAAGCTGGAGCAGCCCTCTGCTCCTCCGTCTCATTGGAGGCAATCATTACTTGCACTTGCAGGTTAAGTCAACTTTTTATCAAGTTTTAAAAGAGAGCAGTTAACGTCTTCCTTGTATGAACGCTGTCACTGTGGAGGAAACTTTTTTTTTGTAGTCTGTCCTACTTGTGTCATTGTTATTTTGTATATTCTGTAGCTGCTGGCAAAGACAGGAAAGGCTGCATAATTATGCGGGGGTCACCTTGATCTTGCTAGTGATGATACTGAGGCACGCCACAGGTCGTATGTGTATAGTTGTGTGCCAGCAGTTGCTGTGCTCGTCATGACCCAGCAGACTTTTCTGTGACCCGCCTTGTTTTTGTAGCTTTGTGAGTGTATTCACATCGCTTCCTGCCCGTGGAACACAAGTGACGACATACACAAATACACACATGTTCGTACTTCTAAAACTGTCAAGAGTCCCATTGAAATCAGTCCCCTGGTTTGTTACCCTGACAATAGCCACCACTCCTATACATGCAAATAACTGCAAGCCTTGCCCTTACATTAATATTAACTCAAATCGAACTTAAACTGTCCAGTCTGAATCCTTTGGACTGATAGTAGAACGGCCTGTAGTTAATTGCAGTAAACCTTTGTGGTATTTACGTTCTATCATATCATGTGCATAACGTTGCTGCATCTGCCTTATGTAAAGCAATTAAGGTTTTCTAAATATTTGAAATGTTTGATACACTTTGATGCCACGTTTTCAATGACGCAATCTCCAGTCATTTATCTATATAGTACAAAGAAGTATCGAATAGGAAAATACCCACAGATCTTATCCAAGAAATAACACTGTGTAGATCGATAGCACACATTCATTGCCAATGTATTAGCACAATTTGAATAGTGTGCAGACCTTTGCTTGCATATTTTGTTAATTAAAAACCAGAGTTACCTATGATTGAATAGGACTTATATATTTGTTGGTGTGGTTTTGAAACATGTTTCAATATTGTTTGATTCTTTCTCTTTAAAGATTCTTCTTCGGACTTGTGTCTTTAATTTGACAGGAAGGCTGCAGGTAGACAGTAAATATAGGGAGAGAGAGTGCATGTATGACATGCACCAAACAGCACCAGCGCCTGAAACCT